TTAAAAAACTTTGTTGGAGAGCGCGTTGCATAATAAAATTTCTTTCGATAGTTTGTGTAATAATAATGGTATGAGAGGCAAATGTAATATTCAAATGGAGCAAATTTTAACTTTTTAAACATTCGTATAGTTGCGAACTGCTTGCAATAGAAAAACACAGAAGAAATTGTGTTAATATTTTACTGTATTTGCGAATTGTTCATTTTGTAATGATAATCATTTACTTATCATTATTATGATCGTTCTTTTCTATGCGCTGGCTGTTGTATTTAACGATCAGACAATTTTGTCTATGCAGAGGCAATATATTTAACTTTCGTTCTTGTCTTTGTAGGCAATTTTTTTTTTATCTTTATGTCTTGTTTTTTTGTAATCAATCAACCGTATCAATCGTGCATTTGTGATGAGAGTGAAGATAATAATCAATCATATGAAAGTAAAAAAGTAAAAAAAAAAAAGTATCTCATATTTATTAAAAATTGGGCTTCATAGAAAAGAAAAATCTGACTTTCTAGGGAAGAAAATGTCGCATTTTAGAAGTAATCAATGAAATGAACTATAATTAAATAAAGTGAATTATTAAGTTCATTTGTTTCATGACATTAAAAACAAAATATCATCATAAGAATTCATTTACATACTTGTTTATAAAGTTGAAATGTCAATTGTTTTACTAAGTTGTAATGTCCTACGGCAAAGATTGAAAATGAAGGAAATATACTTTGCAATTCTATTAGCAATCTTCCTTTCCTATCAATAAAATAATGAACTTGAATTATCAAACCAAGGTTATTTTGTATAGTTTTATTCTATTAGTTATTTAAAACTCTTGACTATATTTTGCATAAAAAATAATCTCATATAAAAGACCAAGCGATAAAATGCATTTCAGCATAAACAAGAAATGAATATATTATAAATCGTAGGTAAGACTTGTAAATGAACGTTGTTACAACAAATTATAGAGATTTTTTGTTTGTAATGAAGACAAATTTAAGCTGGTGAATCAACTTTAATATCTTATTTTCTCTTCAAATATCTTCAATTATACATTATATTCTTTTACTTTATCGTCTAATTTTTAAAAGATTTATACGAAGATTATTAAGCAATCATGTCTTTATTATTCTATTTATTACCAATCTTATTAGTATTCTTATTAATTTTACTATAATTCTTGATTATTTACATATACAAACAATTAGTTCAAATTCTTTTATACATTTTGTATGCTAGAAATTTTCGAGATCTTTTTTTCTATTCTTTTATAAATTCTACTTATGTTAGAGTTACCAAATCGAAAAACATGTACTTATTATTCAGTATCTAATATTAATCATTCTTCCTAGTAATTTAATACTTATCTATTTAATAATAACATTATTTTATTCGCCTACAATTATTGTTGATTGTACATTAGTAATTTATAGAGAATTCTGATATTTCAAAGGATACTTCATGATTAGAAACTATAAATGATTAGTTCATAATAACATACCAATTTGTTCTATTATTGTTTTCTAGTTTTAGCAAATTTAGACTATTGAGGAAAAATATGCTTATATGCGATTATCGATACGACAGTATGACCNTTCATTTATTATTTATTAAAAGGTTATGTGTAAAGCTGATTTAATGTCGTCTCAACTGAATAAGTCCATTTCGAGTTCCTAAAATTTTAACTCGAAAAAAGAAACAAAGTTGTTTGTCTAATATTTCTTTCATCGTCTAAAAATAATATTAAATTTCGACATTATATAAAATTGTGATCAAATGAACAAATGTATAATGAAAAATGAAAGTACTTTTTCGATTTCAATAAGAAAATAGAATAACTTTCTTCTATATGTAAGGTAGCGGAAATGCAAAATTTCAGTAAAATTTTTTTTTCATTCATTTATATATGGTTTGATAGAGCCGGAAAAGCTGATCACGAATATGTATTTTTTATTTTGATTCGATCAATATTTTATAGAGAAAAACGCTAACAAAGTCGAATGACTACAAATGTCACATCTACAGCTATATTGTGCTTCTTTTAAAGAAATTGTTAAATTTGAAGGACATTTATGTTGTTAAATTTTAAAAAAATATTATATTCCAAATCAGCGTGAAAAACTGAGCAAGAAAATGTTATTTCATTAGATTTAAAGCTAAAAAAGGTTTACAAAATCCTGTCCGATATAGATAGCCCAACATGCTGAAAAGTACATAGCTTGCAAACCTATCTAGTTTTTTGTTATAAGAGATAGAACCAACTGTCTTATCTCATTAGAATCGTCAGATGATAGGCTACAACCGTTACCATTTTGTTTTTTAAGATTCTGTTTAATTGCTGAGAAAATTGAGCTTTTTCCTCATTTGATGGCAAAATCTGATAAAAGCATGAAAAATATGCTTGTATTTAGCAGTTTCTATTATTATGGTTTAGCGAAAAGTGAAATAAATAGCATATTCGGAATCAGCATAAAAAACTACACAGAATCATATATGTTTTAAGAAATTTTTTTTCCAACCAAAAAACGTCCCCTGGGGGAGCGGGGGCAAAATTTTAGAAAAACAGGCCTGAGGGGGACCACAGGTGAATTTTTGGTTGGAAAAAAAATTTCTTAAAACATATATGATTTATGTGTAGTTTTTATGCTGATTCCGAATATGCTATTTATTTCACTTTTCGCTATAACATAATAATAGAAACTGCCAAATACAAGCATATTTTCCATGCTTTTATCAAATTTTGCCATCAAATGAGGAAAAGCTCAATTTTCTCAGCAATTAAACAGAATCTTAAAAAACAAAATGGTAAAAGTTATAGCCCATCATCTGACGATTCTAATGAGATAAGACAGTTGGTTCTATCTCTTATAACAAAAAACTAGATAGGTTTTCAAGCTATGTACTTTTCAGCATGTTGGGCTATCTATATCGGACAGGATTTTGTAAACTTTTTTAGCTTTAAATCTAATCAAATAACATTTTCTTGCTCAGTTTTTCACGCTGATTCAGAATATAATATTTTAAAAAAATTTAACAACAAAAATGTCGTTCAAATTTAACAATTTCTTTAAAAGAAGCACAATATAGCTGTAGATGTGACATTTGTAGTCACTCGACTTTGTTAGCGTTTTTCTCTATGAAATATTGATCGAATCGAAATAAAAAAATACATATTCGTGATCAGCTTTTCTGGCTCTATCAAACCATATATAAATGAATGAAAAAAAATTTTTACTGAAATTTTGCATTTCCGCTACCTTAATTATTTTGGGAAGCCAATTTCATTCCCTGCTTCCAACCACCCCTGCTCAAAGTCATTCCGTCTAAACTACAAATTATTCATTATGATTTCAAGCCGCACTAAAAGAAACAGTCATCTAATTCAATTCGCTNAATTATTCACAACATATACAAATCGACTCAGTTTTTAACGCTGATTCCGAATTTGATATTAGTTTTGAACCAAATCGTAGCTTTCTAACAAAACATCCCCTGAAAAAGGTCTCAAAATGCAGAAAAACTGCATCCAAAAAGCAAATTGCCTAGATATGCCTCAGTTGATAAAAAACAAAGTGAATATACCTCTTCACTTTTTGAAGTATACATAACACTCGGATTTAAATTCGAGGTTTTCGCATTTATTTATAATATGTAATTATTGATTCTGATTTCAATTGTTAGAGCCTCGTTCAGAGGGAAGACCATAACAGAAGTTACAAGTTTCTATATTTTGTCTATAAAAAATTATTAAAAAATAGCCATAGGATGCTTTTTTAAGCGACTATTAGTTCTACTAACATTTTTAGCATGAAGATCATACTATTTTATGAGTTAATATTGAAAATAAAATGCCTCTAGAAAAACCACTTTACATGTTACTCACTATGAATAGGTCATATTAATAAAATTAGAAATAATCTGAAACATAAATGTTTCATACAAGTTGCATTAAGTCATAAAGATATTTTAATTCAAAACTCTATGTCAATTATCTTCTCGCTAAAATTCAAAAACTGTTGTGAGATTTAGCAATGTTTCTAAAATATATATTCAATGTATAAACATTTTTCACAGGAATTATTACGGAAGTAATCTACATTTTATAGTTAAATGTGTCACTTTGACAGCTACTAGAATACTTACAAGGAAACATCTTCAAGTGTTAAATCAATTTTCAATCGAGACCATACTTATTTTGATGAGTACTGACGAGTAATAAGAAAGCATAGAATGGTTTGGTTTTCCAGTCATTAGTTCTTTAGATGTGGAAATTTTACTGAGTTTTTCGACAAAAAGCTGTGGTTCCTCTCAATTCACATGAAACATCCATTTTCAAGTTTAGACTTCAAACTTGGCAGGAACGAAGTTCTTAATGAGATTAGTTCATTGGATAAGTCGTAAATTTTCTAGCATCTCCCTATTCTGAGATATTAAATATTCGAAATTCTCTTATATGTAAAAGTAAATTTTGCTGATATATTCACATCTTCACAAAGGAAATACATAGTTACATAGTTAATTCATCTCAATGAGAACTTGTTCGTGCAAAGTTTGAAGTCGATTTTGCATTTAACCTACGGAGACCACATCTTTTATAAAAAAAAAAACTTAGTAAAATCTCGATTTCTCAAAAACAAAGACGTGAAAAACCAAACTATTCGAGAGTTGGTGCTTCTACACGATATACACACCCTCGCCCTCACCCACACTGTGCGCTGTGCATGTGTGTGTATATGTGGGGTGTGGGTGTGCACATCGTGTAGAAGAACCCGAGAGTTTTCTACTACTCACTTGTACTCATCAAATGAACATCGTCTCAGTCAAAATACCATTTGACATTTGGAGAAATTTTCTCGCTAGCCAAAAACAGCACCTCAGGTGATGATATCCAGTTAAAAACTGTCAGATACCTATTACCGTTATAAATTTTTTTTCTATAACTTAATTGCAAATAGTATTCGCTTCTTTTTGTCAATAATACCGATGAGATTTTTAACGATTACTTATACGACATGATTATATAAAGTGTTCAGATATGCAACTTTAAACTGATTTGTCAAATAAATATCCGACGAGCAAATCATGTTAAATCTTAAAAAGATACCTTCATTTTGTTCTTTTATTTTATTAATAAGGATTTGTAATTGTGTTGCATCTAACCATTTAATAAAAAGCTGATTGATTTCTTTTTGATCACTATCTGATAAATTATTTAATTTATGACAATGAATCCGATTTGTCATTCGTTGAATTTTTTCATAAACAGATAAATTTTCACTTTTATTTTCGTTTTCATTTTCACTTTCACTTTCATTTTCACTTTCTGATTGGCTATCGTCCGAATCATCTTCATCACTTTTTTTTGATTCTAATGACCGACAACAATATATTCCACCTTTATTAGTATTCCAATGTGTATGAAAAATATCTAATTTTGATAAAATTGGTTCAATTAATGTTAAAAATTGACTTCGATCCATAATACGTAAAAGTTGACTAATATCAAGTAATTGTTGACTACATTTATAATATTTTAAACGACAATCTTCCATTTGCTTTTTAATATTATTAAGTATTTCATATTTAGTTGCTAATTCTTCATTTTTTAGACGAATATCTCGTCTTTGCAGACGTAATTTTTGAATTAAAAATGGTTCAATTTGACGATGTGTGCTACGACCACCAACACGTACAATTTCACCTGGTTGAAGAGAAAGTTTTTGAATAATTGATGATAAAAATTGATCTAATGCATGATTTGTATAACAAATCATTAGAATTGGTCGTTCACAACCAGTTATTCGTTGACGATTATGATAAAATAACTCAGCTAATCGAACACCAAGATAAGTTTTTCCACATCCCGGTGGACCTAAAATAATTCAATGAAAAATTTCATTTGATTTCAATTAATATGAAATAAAATAAAGACTAATATTATGATTAATCGTGACAAAACAATCAATCTATCCTATGAAATCTTTTTTTCCTAGAAATTTAAATCTAAAAATTACTAATAGAAAATGATTTCGATGTTAATTTTTATTTAATATTTACTGAACTCAATATTCTTATTCTCTTAATGTATAATTCATCATAACAATAGAATTTTTACATGAAAGTCTTCCAAAGAGTAGCTGGATAATATAGTCTCTTTTGAGGCTATCTTTCCCTGTCCTGTTTTGAGCTTTCTGAAGAAAATCTTATCCAAAAACAAAATTGAAACTTTTAGAGCAAGTAAATCTTGACGAGTAGAACAAAAGTTGTCGTTCCGGATGCTGTCTTCTATGAGATATTGGGATCACAACAATGGCTCCAATTTTCGTCCCTGTTTCTCCGAGATTCTATGCTCGATCAAGCTACAAATGTTTTTACAGACAATAGACACTACTTGGAGTGTATGTCGTTTTTGGTTTCTTTTTATTTTTTTTCCTTCGAATAAAAAAACCAAAATATCGAAGAAACCCTAAAAAATGCATGTTTTTTTTTCTGAATAGAACTTGTTTTGTAAGAGGTATCAAAAATGAGGAGAACAATAATTTTTTCAAGACGAATAGAAAAAAATATCCATCCACAACAGTCTATAGTATACATGAAAAAAGTTGCAGCTTGATCGGATGTAATAAACCGAAAAAACGTGGATGTTTCTGCACTTTTTTTCATAAAAAACTTGGTTTGGGAACAACGTGAAACAATGTATAGTTTTGGCTAATTTGATTTGTTCTCGAATTTTTTAATATTGAAAGACAATTTTTGTACTCAGTAGATAGATACTATTTCAGACTATAAAACGACCATAAAAAATCAAAAATTTTAGGTCACGAAAGAGATGGGAGGATATCCTTAAAAATTATGAATTAGTCAAATTGGAAATATTATTAAATAAGAGATTTATTCTAATAATACCTTGAATAAGAGCTACTGATTTAGTCATGGCTAATTGTAATGCTTTGTATTGACTTTCATCAAGGCCAAGTTGTTGAGCATTAGGCCATGTTGATAAATCTTTAACATTACTTAAACTACCATCAAATTCATTACATTCACCACCAGTTTTAATTAATATAGGTCGAAAATCAATAGTAGAATTTTGTTCAAAGTAATTCGGTAAAGGAACATTTGTATCACATTGAAGTAAATATTTTTCAAGTGGTATCTGATCATCTTTTATATTTTGTAATGCTTGTAAAATTGGTCGATAGGCTTCAAAATATGATGTAGTTTCTAATAATGTAAAATGTGTTCCGGGTGGAATTCTCATTAATTTATGATCACATAATTCTTTTTGACACTATAAAAACCAAAAATAAGACTTTTCCTCTCACGAGAAAACATAGTTAACTGTTGAACACTATTTGATTTCATATTATAATTAACAGTAGACCTCTGTGAAGTTCAGGAAAACGTTAAAAGGATTTGAGCCTATGGTTGTGTCCGTCGGATCCAGAAACTTTTCTGAGTTAGACTCGGTTGATCAAACTTTTTTGGACCCAGCCGAACTGTAATTTAATACTCTTAATGAGATTTTCTGATCAAAATTGAATAATCGTCCCGAAGGTATGAGATACTTTTTTTCCTCTTTTTTGTACTCAACGATTAGTGCACCCTATACAAGTCTCAAATGACTGGAACCCATTAGGACGGAGCTTTTCGAATCCGAACCCGATCAAGTCACAGTGCACGACCAACTCGACGGGCTCTAGCCTATGACCTACTGATAAAGGATTATAACCGTTACATTAAGGTTTTTACTAAGAGTAAGGCATTTTCGGAAAACCCGAAACAAAGAGTTTTGATGTGAAACATTGTCTATAGACAGATTAAATTGTCATGAAATAATTCTGAAAGTTTCAACGATGATAAACCTGTCTTTGCGAGATCTTCAATTTCCAAGTAGATATAATCAGTGTGTCCTTGTTTGATAAGTTACTTTTTTCTTGAAATCGAAGATCTCGAGAAAGAGAAATGTTCGTTGTCGTTGGAACTTTCAAGACTATTTTAATGACTACTAAATCTACTTATAGATAATATTTCAGATCAAAACTCTTTATTTTAGGTTTTTTCAGAAATGTCTTGTTCGAAGTAAAAAATCCAGCAAAACGGTCATAACTTTTCATCAATAGGCTATGGGCCTGAACCCGTTAAAACTTTTCTTTATCTCATAGAGACTTATGCAAAGCTATAATATAAAGTTGAACGGTGTCCAACAGTCGGATAGGTTCTCGCCTATAGTGAGTATTTTTTGCTGAGTACAAAAAAAAGAAATCAAATTTACTCGAACATATAATGTTCCATCTTTATCAATATTTGAACGATCTTCAACCGTTAATAGAAAACAACTAGTATAAAAATCATCAAATGTTGCAGCTAGTAAATTTCCATAAATTAAACGTCTTGAATTCGTCCAAATAATTGTTTTTGGTAATGATTGTAAATCAATAAATAACGAAAATAATATTCCAGCTTGAGAACACATTGAACCTGTGAATGTAGTATTTCTATATAAACGAACATTAGAATTTCGAAATGATACATTTCGATTATCATCACTCATATATTGACATATAGCTTCACGTAATGGCCAAAGAAAATCTTCACGAAGAAGACGAAAATGAATCTAAAATTTAAAAAAAAATTATTTTTTTTCCGTAAAATTATAATAATTAACTTACATCAAGATAATGTGTTCCATTGTTATATTGACCCGTTGTAATATTCTTTCGTAAATAAGGAGTTTGTTGTTGAAAAATTTCAGTTAATGTTGGATAAATTGAAAGCTATATAAAATTGATTATTAATTGTTTAACATTATAAATCAATGAAATACGTACTTCATGAAAATCATCTGGTGGTGGATCATTTCGTTCTAATGCGATTTCAACTTCAGGTTTATATTTTTCAACTCTTTTTATATGTTGTGTACGTAATTCATCTACTCGAGAGATAAGTGTAGTAACTTCTATTTGTACATCTTCATTCTAGAAAAGGCAAAATATTATATATTATTTTCTTTTATTAAATTTTCTGAAGATAAAACAATAGAACTAACCAAAATTTTTTGATTGCATCGTTCGATTCGATCAAATATACCCAGAGAATCTAATTGTTCACAACAGGATGGATGAAGTTCAAGTAAAAGTTGTAAAATTTTAGATAAAATATCAACAAATTTTTCTAATAAATCTTTTTGATTTTCATCAGCAAGTGAAGAATATATGAGATATGAATATGAAAAATTTAATAGATTAGAACCAGGTAAACGTATAAGAAGTTTAGAAGTATTTTGTCTTGATGTATTCATTGATTGTAAAAGAAATCGAAAAAATCGTACGAGTATTGTCAAATCATTCATTTCGGAATCAGAAAAAAATCTATCAACAAGTTTCGGTTGTTCAAGTAATGATTCACATCCATTTCGTTCTTGTTCAAAACGATTAAGTTGATCGACAAGTTGTAAATTCTTTGTTTCATTATTTCTTAATTATGAAAATATTGATTTATTACTTTTTTTTATAACTAATAATTTTACTTTAACTTATTTGCACTTGAATTGAAAGATTTTTTAAAAGACATATTTTATGTATATAACAATCACTTTTAGAATAGAATAGTCAATGGCAAAAAGAATTTAACTGAATAAAAAAAAACTTATTTATTTGTTTGCATCTGTGAAAAAAACCCAGTGCGATGAGTCATTTTTCCTTTGCTTTTCTTTTGGTATATAATATTTCTTTTCAGTGGTTCTCTACTTATGAGTTTTGCATTTGTCTGTCCTTTCCCAATGTGGTTTTATTTTTAATAGCAGAAGTAAAGAAAGAAAGAAAACGCAATCATATTCATAAGCAAACGCATCTTTTACCCTGAAATGAACTGGCTAAACTGCCATTGGTAAAAAAAAATACCAGTAAAATACACATTTCAACACACAGGTTTTTTTGTTGTTGTTTCGTCTCAAAGCTTTGCTTGTTCTATGTTTGTAGACATGAATGAAGATAATATTTGCCAACTATCTAGTCAGTAGTAATGGATTCTATATCATATATTCGATGATTGAATTCTATAAAATTATTTGTATTTTTACAATTACACAACTGTTTTGTTGATATCAAGGACTATTTCATCAATCTTCAAACAGTTTAGCAACTATATTTAATCAGTATTAAAATAGCAATGAGACATTTTTTTTATTTGTTTTTATGCATTATATTTACTTAGAGCATGATGAATACTAGGAAACTTAGTAATAAAATTATTAATTTTTGATGCTCAAAAGAACAAGATGTAGATAAGTAAGGTACTCATAGTGCAGAAATCGAGTAGATGTTTTTCTTACTTCTTTATACACTATTTGATAGAGCAAGAAAAGTTGATAAGAGATATATTAGTTTTAAATTGATTAGTTCATGTTTTAAGGGAAAAAAGCTTGTTAGCGCAGTTATTTTGGGGCTGAAATGTGAAACTCGCATATGCTCTCTAGCCTCATTAAACTAATACAAAATACGTAAAGTGACAAATGTCTCGTAGACAATAGCTATTTTGCAGGATTATCGACGCCCAGAATAATGACATCTCTAATTTCTGCATTTCGAACAGAATTTTTATATTTTTTTCTACGGACGTCCTATTTTTTATTGGAGACAAATTAAATGTTCAGTAAAATTTGTTTAGTATTATATACAAATTTTCAGTAATTAAAATCAAACTATTAGTATAAAATTTAATGTTCGATAACTATTACGTTTGTTCAGTCAACTAATTGTTTGCTCAGTAAATTAATAAATTGTTCAGTATTAAAATTAAAGTTTCAGTAATCAATTCAGTTTGCTAATCCAAAAATTCATTTACTCAGTAACAAGCAGTATTTTTATCAGTAATCACTTTTATTTTTTTGATGAAAATATTTTGATGTAAATAGAAGAACGCTTAGTCACATTGACTGATGATGACATCATCAGTCAAAAGATACTATTTTACATAGTTTCTCTTGATATTCGCATACATATGTTGTCCTATTTATCGATGTCATCTTTTCTTGATCTACTTTTTATATTTTATTACAGTTATTCGATATTTTACAGTTACATAAGAAGGTGAATATATTGCATTCTCTTCTTTTTCTCAATTTAACAAAGGAGAAGAGGATTCTAGACATCGCTCTTTGTTTGCTCCTATGCCTATCCCTATATAAATAGCTCATGTTTTTTAAATAAGTTGAATTTTGATTTACCAAAACTACGTTTACCATTATCAAGATTTTAAGTATTAGCATTTGAAATTGTATAAATCTTATGAACGAGGTTTAAAACAATACAGTGACAAGCTACCATTCTCATTGGAATTATGGACAAGTGGATATCAATGGATCAAATCAAATAAATCAATACTTTCGACTGAATGTGATAATTTAGTTCAATATTATATACCTTCTGAAGACGAAATAAAAATTACAAACGTCGAAATTGATGCGATGAAGAAAATGAAATGGTACTCCTTTGATCAAGATAAAAGAAGCATTCAATATTTGGACTGTTACATTACCAGTAGATAAATCAAAATGGTTAGATGATGTATGCAATTATTCAGCATTTGTCAAAAAATTTATGTGTAAACATGTCGGGATGGCAATTAGGTTAAACTGCTGCAAACCATCAGCTACTGCTAAAAATGTTAAAATTGGTGAAAAAAGATATTGTGGTAGACCAACAAAATCAAAAACAACATTACTAATTAAATAAATTTCTGTTAATGGTAATTATACTTTTTACTGAAATAAATTATTAAAAAACTGAGCAAAAATAAATAAAATGCTGAATCTTTTAAGATTAATTACTGAACTTCTTGAATTATTTACTGAGCAAAAAATAATTTTTTATTGAACAAGAACTACTGAACATATGTGTTAAAAAATTTACTGAACATTAATAAAATATTGAAAAAATAAATACAAGCCTTTTTTATGTGTATTGTTGCTATTCATTCATTATTTTCAGCTTTTTTAAATTCGTTTTTCTTAATTAAACATTCTTGTGATTATAATCATTGAACTAATTGATAAATAAGTCTGTTTTACATATTCATGGTATCTACAGTAGATCTTACGCACTATCATATATATATATATATTAATCAACTCACAGATAATGATTTTCATTATTTTTCAAAATTATAACTTGATTAATTTTGCAAAAAGAAAACTTTAAAAAATCTGCCGTCTGCTATTCTCGATTGTTAAGGTCTGTAGTGAAAAGTGTCTATAATGGGGGCTTCCGTTGTTAAGTGTCTGTAATGAGAAGCGGGAAGGAGTCGCGAAAACTTGGCCTTAAAACTGATACTCACTATTTTCTTCGAAAATATATGTGAGCTCCACAAAATTAAAAGTTTAGGAAAGTACGAAAAAATAATTCGAAATAGTAGAAAAAACAAGTCTTTATCAGAAATTTTCATGTTTTTTGTTGCTTACATTTCCGTAATGATTTAATTCATTATTAAAAATGTTATTTGAATGGAAGTGTCGTTCAACATTAGTCTGTTCACTATGACCATCCAAACACGTTGTTGTGGTATTCATAGAATATTTTATGAACCTTTCGGTAGCTTTTTGTATTAAATAATTGGACTAACTGTCATATATCATTAATATTGCTAGAAATTAATCTTCAAAGGCATCCTGTTAGTTTTTTTAGATTTTGTTCTATGATTGAGAGATTTGTGTTCTTTCAATCATTTTTCTACTGATATACTAAAATCATGACAAAACATGCACATATTTATCTCATTTTACTTTTACTTTGTCGTAATATGAAAAAACAACAGATAAAATATTCACAATCATCATAACCAATTATATATATTTTAATTAAAAATGTTTTCCCTAAAAATCATCTCTCCAGAGAACCATAGAGCAAATTTTCAAAAAATTTTGTCTGTCGTGAAGGGAGGGCACAGGCTTAATATTATATGAATTTTTTCTTTGCTAAAAGATGTATGATTTGGTGTAGTTTTTTATTCTAATTTTAAATATTTTATTTATTTTTTCATATCACGAAAAAAAAATAACATGAAGTAATTATGTGCATATTTTGCTCTGATTTTAGCATATCAGTAGGAAAAAATCAAAAGAACGTGATCCTCTCAAAGATAAAACAAAACCTACAAAAACTAATAGTATACGTTTGAAAGTCAATATCTAGTGAGTCTAATGGAATATGACACTTGATTCTATCTCTTGATATCAAAAATTAGAAACGTTTCCAAAATTATCGAAGAATACAATAAAATGTGTTTGGATGGTTTCATTCGACAGGTCCGTGTCGAACAACACTTTCATTTCAAACTCATTCAAATAACATTTTAAATGTTGAATTGAAAAATAGTTCTTTTAAAACGTTACTGAAATGTAAGCAACAAAAAACTTGAAAATTTCTGAAAACTTTTTTCAGCTATTTTGAACTATTTTTTCATACTTTCCTAATCTTTTTTTTTTTCTCTTAAAACATGAACCAATCGGTTTAAATATAATATATTGCTGACCAATTTTTCGTGCTCTATCGAATAGAATATAAAGATATGAGAAAAAATTCACTTGATTTTTACATTATGCGCACTTTAGAAAGAATTAAAATTGATAAATAGCTTTTAGTGAAATAACTAATGAGGAAATCATTTTTAGTCATATAAATATGATCAATATATAATAATTGATTGACCTAATTAAAAAGCTATCCTTGATCGAAAAGAAAAATTAGACAGAAATAATACAGCAAGGTCAAGTGACTTTTATTATTGAGACCTAGAATTTATTTGATATAATAATAAAAGCAATAGACCGAAGTACAAAAAAAAGAATAGTTATTCATCGACATCGTGCTGTTTTGATCATTGTACTTTCTAATTACATGATATTCATGTGAGACAAAATTTGTATGGCTATTTTTCTCATATCAAACAGCATCAATTGAAATATTCTAAGTCACTATAACTTAGTAAGTGAATGAATGATTATATATTTTTCTCAATCCTGAAAAAAAAAAGAACAAAATAAATGAATGATGTATAACAACAATCATTTTTGTAATCAAAATCCTAAAGTAAAAGTTGACAGTGTTTGAAAAACAACTTTAAATCGTTTTGTTTATTTACACATCGCATAATTTTCAACTGAAATTATGTTAATTTATGCTTTCTTGAGTCTTTTTCTTTATTCAAAAGAAAAAATGTAATAAAATTCGTTATTTTATGATTCACATTTTAAATAAAGTATGACAAATGTATATGCGTATGTATCTATGAAACGAAGTGAATTTGTTAGATTTCTATTGGCAATCCTTCGAATTTTTAGTTGCTAAATTTACTTTTATATCAATAGAAGAACTATTCTTATTTGATTGGTTTTGCGTCTCGTTATTTTTGTTCGGTTGATTCATGAATGAATAGAAGTGAAATAAGCTAAGTTTGATTAAAATACAATAATTTTTTTTTTCAATACTAGCTTTTTGCCAATTTAATCATATTCACGTTAGATTTTTCTTCTGTTTTCATCATCATATCTAAATATTTCATTTAATATTTCAAGG